TTGTGCCCAGTGACCCATTTTTGTGTTGTTTTTGGATTATTGTCTGGTTGGAAGATCCAAACATGGCCCATTATAAGATTTCTAACAGAGTCAGTCACTTTTTGACCCTGAGTCTCAACTATTTTCTGCAATTCTCCAGCTGTGGTCCTTGGAGAGTCGTTAGCCACTCAAACTCTCCTCCTCACCATGCATTAGGACGATATAGGCACACGTCCTCTTCCAGGCAGATTTGTAACATTTTCTGTTGATTGGAAATTCTTAATTATTGCCTTGATGGTGGAAATGGGAATTTTGACTGCTCTAGCTCTTTCAGAAATATATTCTTTGGTTTTTCTCATTGTGATGGATGATTAAGGGAATTTGGCCTTTGTTTTCCCTCCTATTTATATTCCTGTGAAACAGGAAGCCATGGCTGGATAAATTCATGTTCATAATCACCCTGGTATGCTCAAAATTGTAAATATGAATGGGAATATATTTTACTTTCTAGGGGTAGCAATAATTGTGACCAACGTGTATTTGAGAAAAACATTTATGTCATAATGATATTTCCCCCCATTTTAAATTCTTATTCTCCAATGAAAGGTTAGATTTATGTGAATTTTTAAAATAAAAGATCAAAATTATTAACAATACAGATTTATGTTCACAGCCTTCTTTGATCATATTTACCAAGGGTGCCAATAATTCTGACCACGGCTGTATATGTATATGTATATATATTAGTGCTATCAAACGATTAATCGCATCCAAAATAAAAGTTTTGTGTTAATAAAATAATATGTTTACATAATATATGTGTGTACTGTGTATATTTATTATGTATATATAAAGACACACATACAGCATGTATTTTGAAAATATTTACATGTATTTACATGTATATATTTATATTCATATAAATTATATCATATATACATACATTTAATATGTAAACATAACATATTCTTCTTAAATATATACGTGTGTGTGTTTATACAGTATATACATAATAAATATACACAGTACACACATTATGTAAACAAAAACGTTTATTTTGGATGCG